GTGGTAAATACTTTTTTTGTCATGACACTTGATATGTAAATGGCAAGAGAAATGGAGCCGTGGGGAGAAATAGATAGAGCTTTTGGTGTTGGTGAGATAGAAGAAAAGAAACCATTTTTAAAAAAAGTAGAAAAACTGTATCAAATACCAGAAATTTTGAAATGAGAATGATCCAGCATCAGTTTTCTTTGTAGAATACTCAGGAATTTGATATGATGCCTTGATTTCTTTTCCTTCAACCCAGCTTTTTATTAAAAAAACCTTCTTCCATATCTCTCTCTCTCTCTCTCTCTCTCTCTCTCATAATAGGTTTACATTCATATGCATAATACAGTTTTTAAAGGAGCTAACATTTCAGATTAAATAGCATCTCATTTTCATTTTACCCCTAAATACTTTAATGTATCCAGAAAATAAGGGCATCAACACATAATCCTATATATTATTAGCATACCTAAGAAAATTGACTGTTTAATATATATATTATATAATGTATATAGTAGTCTAATATATGTAGGCTCTAGAGTCAGATTTCTTAGTTGAACTCAACATATCTTTTTAAGTTAGTCTTTTCAGATTGGCTCTGGTAACATTAATAAATTCATTTGAATGTAATGTCTACATAGCCTTAAATGTAGAACAACCTCGCCATTTTTATTTCTGGAATCACATTGTTTAAAGGTGATCAGAAGAGTTTTATCACATTCTAGATTTATCTGATCATTTCTTTTTGATATCTGCCTCATGACATTTTCTATATATTTTTATGATTAAATCTAAGTTGCACATTTTGGGCAAAATTTACTTCATAGGTAATGGTGTGTACTTCTTATATATAAGACCCAAGAAATACAAAATGAAAGTTTGTGCCACTATTATTGATTTATTAGTTGGCATTTGTATTTAAAGGTAATTTCCATATTGATAATATTCTTCAGAAATGGTAGGATAATTGTAGTTTTCTCACATTACCAGTTCATAGTTATATAATAGTGATAACAAGTGAAATTCTTTTTTTAAGCCCCCTCCCCCACTTTTTTTTTTTGGTACCTATGATTTAACTCAGGGGCCCTTAACCACTGAGCCACATCCCCAGCCCTTTTTTTGTATTTATTTAGAGACAGGGTCTCACTGAGTTGCTTACAGCCTTGCTAAGTTGCTGAGGCTGGCTTTGAACTCCTCCTGCCTCAACTTCCTGAGCTGCTGMGATTATAGGTGTGCACCACCGCACACAGATTGCTCTTTCTTCATATAATTATAGATTTATGAACTTTTTAAAAAAATTTACTGTTACCAGTTTTGGCTTTAAATTAATCTTTCTGTCTATCTACTTATTTTGGTACCAAGGATTGAACCCAGTGGCCCTTAAACACCACATCCATCCCCAGCCTGTTTTTTGTTTTTTTTATTTTGAGTAAGGGTCTCACTAAATTGCTCAGTGCCTTGCTAAGTTGCTGAGGCTAGTCTTGAACTTGGGATCCTCCTGCCTCAACCAACAGAACTACTGGGATTACAGGTATGTATCACTGTGCCTGGTGTATCCCCCCCCCCATGGTCAGAGCATCTCAAATTTAGCTGGTCAGAGCACCTCAATGCTGTCTTCTGTGTCCTTGCAACAAAGATTATGAGTGTTTTTAGTGGTATATAAAACAGTACCTTCACTTGACATTTCTATTAACATTCTTAGAATTCCATAAACATTTGAAAGATTCCAGAAATCCTGAAAAATCCTTCAGAACTCTAGAGGATGGAAGAATATAAATGCCATTCAGCAAGAAGCCTATGAGTTGTCTGTCTTTCCTGAGAAATAAGCACTAGGGTTTACTATTAATAGTATAGTCAAACTCTATTTTCAAAGAGCAGAAGTTCAGGGGAGACTTTGAGGAACTCCCCACTTAATTATGGGGAAGAAGATTGTTAATAGCCTAAGGAATCTTTCAAATTAGAGATTGGCTCATAATACCCTCACTCTACCTTGACAACAGCAGTGACCTTTTAATAAGTAATACATTTTTTTATCTTAAAAAATTAAAAGGAACAAATACTTTCTGTTATCCCAGTGCTGTTCTAAGGTTAACTCTTCATTGGCTGTTAATGCTTGCTCATACACTTAATCTAATATTTATATCCAAAATATTCATGTTGAAATCTTGCTCTCGGTTTTAAGTTTACAAACTAGATGAACAGTTTGACAAATTAATGTTTAAGATCTTAATTTAAAGACAATATAAGGGGTTGGGGACTAGTTCAGTGGTAGAGCATTTGCTTGGCATGCATGGTTCAACTCCCAGTATTATGATAAATGAATAAATGAATGAATGAATGAATGAGTGGGAGTGGTGTTGAAAACAAAATTGAGTAGTATCATTTGGAATATGTGTTTTTAGAGCGAGTGTAATGAAATGGTAGGTAAAGTTGTTTACACATTTGTACACATTTATATTCTGAATAACATGGATCTAAGAAATGTCAGCCATTCTTTTTATTTCATTTTGTGAGCTGTACATCAAAGAGTAGTCTTTGCTAGAAAAAACTAAGAGATCTGTAGCACATGATACTAGAAGATGTCACTTTGCCTTTTTGATTCACACTGTCTCCAGTCTTGGACCACCTTTTGCTTACCTAAAATAGCAGTGTTCAGTTATGTTAAAGGAGGCATTGAGTTTCTTCATATTCTCAATAATATCTATAGACTTGGTGTACGATATAAATCTGATTCTGATTTTGGTAGAATCACCCCCATTTTCTGGTGGTAGCAGATGGACAGTTTATTCTAGTGACAGGAATCATTCTACTCTCAAGTCATATCCCTTTTGGGGTGGGGGCATGGGGAGTGTTACAAATTGAACCCCAGGGCTCTGAACTACATCCCCAGCTCTTTGTTTTAATTTGGGAAAGGGTCTTGCTAAATTGCAATCCTCCTGCTGTAGCCTCCCAAGTTGTCATGATTATAGATGTGCTTTAATCAAGCTGAGTTTTTCCTTTCCTTTCTTTTTATGTAGTACTGGTTATTGAACCTAGGACTTCATACATGCTAGGCAAGTGTTCTACCACTGAGCTAACTATATCCCTTAGCCCTCAACTTTCCCTTTTTCTATCTTTGTCTCCAAACTTTAATTCTCAATGGTAGTATGTGTTCTTTTCCCCAGTTTTTTTAAAAAATACTCTTTAGATTTGCCTATCTTAGTAAAGCCCTTGGTAAACCTTAAGAAATGAGTAAGTATAGGATTCTAGAAGTCTGCTGTCCATGATCTCAAGGTACGTATAATAGCAGAGTGGATGCTTGAGGGGAATGTTGGGAAGCCTCTGGCAAACTTTATATTTGCTGATGACAACATAGACTCTAGGGGAGAATAATTTCTAATTTTCCTTCACCATCAAAATGTTATATGAGGGTCATGTCATTGGTGGATTCTCATAATAGAATTCTGCTGTCATTTGGTATATGGGAAGTGCTTCTAAGATCCTGCCATAGATGGGAGGGGTGAAAGATAGGGATGGTGTGTTCTGTAAACAGGAAATGTCCAGCACACTCTTTTAATTAAAAACTCGTTAGCTCATAATATGTGATCTTGCTTACTTATCAACTTACCCTAATAGCAGTATCTTACATCAATAAAATTATAGTTGAGACATATAAATTGAGAAGATCCTTGAGCTTTTATCTAATACTTCTATTTAGGGAGGCTCCAAATAATACAGGAACAAGGTATTCATAAGTTACTCCTTAAAACCTACTTTGACTTTAAAATTTTATGTATATTTATTTTTAAAGCACTCATACAAAAATTTCAAATGTATTCACCTCCCATCCAATTCTGTAAGTATTTAGTGTTACTGATGTATTTTCTCCACTGTAGTCTTAAGTATATAGAAAACATATACTTTTTAAAACATTCAGGTTTTATATTTTTATACAAATTACTTTAGAAGTCTATCAGAGACCTCTTTCTATGTCAATGCATATATAGCATTCATTTTTTAGGTGGGCTGAATTGAATTACATTTTATAGAAGTAACCTATGATCGATCCCTTACTGAAGGACAGTTCATTGAATAAACATTAAGCAGTTACTATGTATTGATATTCTTTTCTAAATGCTCGGGATGGATTAATAAATGAGACAAATAAGGTCCTTGTTCTCAAGATTTTGTGAGGAGAAACAGATATATAAATAATTAATTTTTATTATTTGCTTTTCCATATTTTCATTGGTGCATTACAGTTGTACATTATTTGGGGGTTTGTTATTGTATATTCGTACATGCACACAGTAGAACAATATAATTTGGCCAGTATCATTCTCCATTATTTCCCTTTTCTCTTCTCTCCTCTCCTCTACCAATCTCTCTTCACTTTTTATGAGATTACCCTCTACCCTTTTTTTCCCCTTCTTCTGATTTCCACATGTGAGAGAAAACATGACCCCTGACTTTCTGGGTTTCACTTGTGTTCATGAAATATTCTCAGGTTCCATCCATTTTTCCCACAAATGATATAATTTCATTTTTTTATGGTTGAATAAAACTCCATTGTGTACATATACCACATTTTCTTTATTCATTCATCTGTTGATGGGCACCTAGGCCGGTTCCGTAGTGCTGCTGTAAACGTGGGTATGTATGTATCATTATAGTATGCTGACTTTAGTTCTTTGGCTTTAATTAGCTTTTAGACATGTAATTGAGGTAACACTTATAGTAAAGTTAGGACAGAAACATTGAGGGGTAGGTGTATGTCTCTGGGTGTATGTATGTGTGATATTCATGACATGACATTCTTTTTAATGGCTGTGTAGTAATCATTGTTGGCATATATATGATTTAGTTAACCTGTATAGGAATTTTCTTTTTTCTTACAAAGGAATGTGTCTCTCTCCCAACCCAATTTTAACAACATAGTACATTTAATTTTGTGATCTAAGTTTTTGTGTATAACTATTCCTCTGTTTTATTATCTATTCCTTTCTAAAGATTTTGGTTTCATTCCTGTATTTTAGGTCTACGGATCAATGGAGAACTAATCTCTGCCTACCCCCAAGTGGTGGTTGTGAGAGTTCCAACCCCTTGGGTACAAAGTGATAGTGACATCACTGTTTTGCGCCATCTAGAGAAGATGGGATGCCGATTGATGAACCGACCCCAAGCCATCCTTAACTGTGTTAATAAGTTCTGGACATTTCAAGAATTAGCTGGCCACGGTGTTCCTCTCCCAGATACTTTCTCTTATGGTGAGGCCATTAGTAAGAGTATATGTCCTAAGTGTTCAAAGCACTGATAATTTTGAGATCCATATTAATTTATATTGTAGATTTGTAAACATGAAGAAGCTTCTTAAGAGAGTGACTTTCAGTATTAAGAATTTTGAGTTATGTCTTCAGATTAGTTTCACAGTATGAGGTAGAATGAGGTTAGCAAAATTTTTTGGTAAAGTTCTTTGTGGTGACCTTCAATAATACTGTTGTGCAGAAACTGCTAGAGACAATGCTTAAGTGAGTTTGGCTCTGTTCTAATTAATTATGCTAAAGTATTTCATGCCCTTCCAGTTTTTCTAGTTTGGAAAAGATCAGTACAGTATTTTCCACAGACATTTCTCTAAATAAATCTCCAGTTGAATACTTGGAGGTTCTCCCCCCCACCCTCCCGCCACTTTCTTTCTTTTTTTTTTTTTTTTAAAGAGAGAGTGAGAGAGGAGAGAGAGAGAGAGAGAGAGAGAGAGAG